GGTATGATGGGCTACTACAATTTGGTCGGTATTACAGATTCTTGTTATCTATTATGCTCCTGACTTCTAACTTCTGTTGATCTCTATGTTTCTTCAATGTATTGGAGAACACATTCATAAAGTTCTTCACATTGTTTGTTGTGTACCATCTGTGATCGTATTGTGTTGTGGTTTCGGAATACTGCTTTGACTTTATGCTGTTTATATATACCCCCCAAGCTTTTAGAGAGATCTTAGACATACGATAATATGGCTGACTGTCTACAGTTTTCTTTCTGCTTATTCTTGGTGTTTATCTTCTCTACTTTTTTCTTTAACAAATATTCTGAGTATCCAATGGCAAGGAGGTTGTATTGACATGTTTTTCTTCTCTCGTTTTGGAAACTTCGGTTTTACAGATCTTGACAATTCTTGAAACTAGGCAATTTGTGACGCTCATGTTTACACTGTTGGGATGGTTTCCTGTAGTCTCCTTTAATACATATCTTGGTAACTATCACGTCTAGGAATGGGAGTTTATCTCATTTTATTTCTATTGTGAATTACATCGCTGAATATTGTTTGTTCAGTTGGTTGATGAATTCTTGAATATTTTCTTAAGTGTGTGTGTGTGTGTGTGTGTGTGGCCATATTAAGAATGCATCATCAAAATATCTGAGTCAAATCTGGGACTTAGAAGAGCCGCTATGAGAGCATTAACATTACTGGTGTTAAGGGTGAGCCCATAGCTAGGCTTTATTATTGTTGATAGTATATTATCTTTGTGTTCGATATAGGTTTTGGTTGGTACCAAAGGTTGTGAATTTTAATATAGTGTAGAGTATCAGATGGCACGTTCCTCGTCAGTCATATAATTTCAAGCAGTTTTCAGAACATCTGTAGTGTTTCAAGACACATATGTAAAAAGGTTGGATACATCAAAGTCGATCATTGTGTCACCCGAGGTTACTGTAGTTGATCATTGTGGCAGGTGAGGTAATTGTTTGTTTTTATAATTCTATACAAATGGACTGAATTCTTAACATGTGAGGATGTTTAACCTGTTAATGGCAATGTATCTACAAGATATCTAGTTAAAGACTGACTTGATAAAGTTCTGTAGTGGACTATGGGATAAAAGTATGAATTGTTAACATGTGAGCATGTTTAAACAGTTAATGGTGATAATATGATATCTAGCTAAGGGGTAACATTCTGAAGTTCTACACTGGACTATGGGACGGATATTATATTGAATTTTGTTTTGTTAGGGTTATATTATAAAAGGGTTTACACTTCATGACTTTATGTCTGCAGTGAGGACTTTACTTTGTTTCTCAAGTATTTATTATTCCTCTTCTGATAGGGTATGAGGCGTGTCTGTAGCGATATGGAAGGTGGGTATTTTGTTATTTGTTATATGGTATGAGGCGTGTCTGTAGCGATATGGAAGGTGGGTATTTTGTTATTTATTATATGGTATGAGGCGTGTTTTCTGTGTCTGTAGCGATATGGAAGGTGGATATTTTGTTATTTATTATAGGGTATGAGGCGTGTCTGTAGCGATATGGAAGGTGGGTATTTTGTTATTTATTATAGGGTATGAGGCATGTTTTCTATATCTGCAGCTATATGGAAGGTGGGTATTTTGTTATTTGTTATATGGTATGAGGCGTGTTTTCTGTGTCTGTAGTTATATGGAAGGTGGGTATTTTGTTATTTATTATATGGTATGAGCCATGTTTTCTATATCTGCAGCTATATGGAAGGTGGATATTGTGTTATTTGTTATAGGGTATGTGGCGTGTCTGTAGCGATATGGAAGGTGGATATTTTGTTATTTATTATATGGTATGAGGCGTGTTTTGTGTGTCTGCAGCTATATGGAAGGTGGATATTGTGTTATTTGTTATAGGGTATGTGGCGTGTCTGCAGCTATATGGAAGGTGGATATTTTGTTATTTGTTATAGGGTATGAGGCGTGTCTGTAGCGATATGGAAGGTGGGTATTTTGTTATTTGTTATAGGGTATGAGGCGTGTTTTCTATATCTGCAGCTATATGGAAGGTGGGTATTTTGTTATTTGTTATAGGGTATGAGGCGTGTTTTCTGTGTCTGTAGCGATCTGGAAGGTGGGTATTTTGTTATTTGTTATAGGGTACCATATCGCTACAGACACACAAAACACGCCTCAAAGGTGGGTATTTTGTTATTTGTTATAGGGTATGAGGCGTGTTTGCCTTTGGTTGTAGTTATGTATATAGAGTTGGTATTTTGTTATTTTGTACAGGCTGCAAGGCTGTATCTATATGGAAGGTGAATTATTTTGCTATTATTATAGACTATAATGAATGTTTTTTATGGCTGTAGCTATATGTAATTTGGGTATTTTGTTATTTGTTATAGGCTATATTACATGTTTTCTATGGCTGTAGCTGTATTTAAGTTGAGTATTTTGTTATAGGCTATAATACATGTTTTCTATGACTGTAGCTGTATTTAATTTGAGTATTTTGTTATTTGTTATTAGGTACACTTTCATTAGGTTCTGCTAACGGTAATTTAATGTAAGTTTATTATTGTATTTTTTGGTGTGTCTTCAATATTTGAAGGCTTATTCTTTGAATATTTATAAGTGATTTTAACATTTAAAAAGGAATTTCCTTAGTGTGTGAGTGTGTTGTTTGGTACGAAGTTTAAAAGCAGTTCTGAGCCTTATGTATATTTATCTGACGATATTTTGTTTTTGCCTTATCTTGGAGTAATGCTTTAGTTTTCTGACTTAATATTTCATATTGTAGGATATTGGCAGGTGATTCGACCTTAAGTTACTTAGGAATTGCTTTATGTTGTTTACATTCGTGGAGAAAGGTGAGATGGTTGTAATTAATCTACAGTCCTGTCTTTCTAAGTTCTTAAATTTCTTCCAAATTCCGGGTTCGTACCAAGCCCTTAAATACTCAAGGTAAGACTATGTCTTGTAATAAAAAAATAACTATTAATAATTAGACTTAAGTGGCCGTATAGGTTACTAAACATGAGAACAACTGATTATCAGATTCCCTCAGCCTCACAGTAAATATACATATAATGAAATACTTAATGTTCGAGCTTAGCAAATTTTCATCATGCTAATGGAAATTGCAATCAAATAATATTACATTTTTAGCCTATGAAAAAATATATGACTAGCAAATCTTACAAGGTTTCAATTCATCGTGATTTCAAAATTTCAAGTACTTTTAATGCATTGTACCTGAAACTAGAAAATATCTGTAAGTGTTTATCAAATAATATTTTCCACCTTTTTTTTGTAAACAGTGTTGTTTAAAAATGCCTCATTACACATAACTTTCTATGATCAAGAGTTTTAACGTGCTATAGTTATCAATAATTTTATTACCAAACATTAGACACTGTATTTCTGTTCGCAAATGTCTATGTTTCTGTCCGCATAAGTCAAGTTTATTTAATGTAGCACATACCTTTTAAATGTCAATAATTATCACAGTTTATATTGTTTGCATATTTTGAATCATTCGAAAGGTTCAATAAGTTATACCCTAGTGTCATCTCTTGGTAATTTAGTATAACACTAGGACTCTGAATACACAGTGTTTGATCATATTTTGAGACACGCAGTCGGTTGTAGGTGCTAGAGTTCACTACGGTATCTGAATAATAATACAACGCTTGCAATATCTGTGCAATAGTAATGTTTTTATATATAAACTTTCAAGCTGTTATAATGCAAGATTCAGACTTATGTTTAGAAGATCTTGGATAGATAATCTGTATGTTTTGTTCTCCCAACATGTAATAAATTGGATTAATGTTATTGTGAAAATAAATTACTTTACATATAACCTTGGATTGTTCATATTACCTTTAAGATATTATTTCCAAAATAAAATATATCCATTTTTAAAATAGTCTTAACGAAATAATGTTATATCCAACAGAATAATTTTGTTTTCGCATCTTTTAGATAAAATATACTCGTTTATTAATGTGTGATTATACTGTAAATAATTACCTTTTAATAAAGTATCATAGAACTTGGATTTAGAAAGTCATTAGTATTTCATTAGTGCAAAATATGTTAATTTCTTGTATATCAACACTAGTTTTTATTAAAAACAAAAACGATAGTAGAATGATTAAAATATGGTATAAATGTTATACAAAGTAAGGTACAAATGTTATACATAATAAGGTATAAATGTTATACAAAGTAAGGTACAAATGTTATAAAAAGTAAGGTATAAATGTTATACAAAGTAAGGTATAAATGTTATACAAAGTAAGGTATAAATGTTATACAATATAAGGTATAAATGTTATACAAAGTAAGGTATAAATGTTATACAATATAAGGTATAAATGTTATACAAAGTAAGGTATAAATGTTATACATAATAAGGTATAAATGTTATACAAAGTAAGGTATTTATACTTTGTATAACATTTATGCCTTACTTTGTATAACATTTATACCTTACTTTGTACAACATTTATACCTTACTTTGTATAATATTTATACCTTACTTTGTATAACATTTATACCTTATTATGTATAACATTTATACCTTACTTTGTATAACAATTGTACCTTACTTTGTATAACATTTATACCTTACTTTGTATAACATTTATACCTTACTTTGTATAACATTTATACCTTACTTTGTATAACATTTGTACCTTACTTTGTATACTATTTATACCTTATTATGTATAACGTTTATACCTTATTATGTATAACATTTGTACCTTATTATGTATACCATTTATACCTTATTATGTATAACGTTTATACCTTATTATGTATAACATTTGTACCTTACTTTGTATAACATTTGTACCTTACTTTGTATAACATTTATACCTTACTTTGTATAACATTTGTACCTTACTTTGTATAACATTTATAGACACTATACCATAATTGTTACACTAAGAAAATAATGGATTTGAGATACATTTTTTCTTACTTTATTAAAAAATCTACCTCTGTATAGGAACCAGCGACCCCTATGTGAAAGTGTTTCTACTCCCAGACAAGAAACACAAGCTGGAGACGAAAGTCAAACACAGAACTTTAAATCCTAGATGGAATGAAACTTTTTATTTCGAAGGTAAGTCAAGAATCTGCATGTGATGTTTTTTTTTACTAACGTTTTTTGGGTTTACGTGTACCTACTATAGAACCTAACCAAAAATATGTTTTTATCTTTAGAGCTTACGATATTTTGTCACCATTTTATTAAAACTCTTCATTTTATGACCAAGACGTTCGTCTACAGGCATATTTATGGCTTAAATTCAAAGGTTTGTAATAGAGAAAATATTTGAAAACTTAAACCTGCCGGTCGAGAGCATTAAAATTAAAAATTACGAGTAATTTTATGCTTGGAACTATAAAATGAAAATTTCAAAGTTTTAATAGAAATGTGTTAATAAAGAAAAATACTAGATCCAATTAACGTTTTCGAGCATTTAAGAATTTTAAGGTAAAAAGAAAACACGATCATAACAGTTTGGGTTTAATAAGATAAACGTTTTTATTTGATGGACGTCTGTGGTAAACTAACAGACAGAAAAGCAGACGACACTGTCTCTTTAGCACCCTGTTTATTAACTATTTGGCCTTGGCAAACTAGAAATTGATAATCTTAAGAAACAAAGAATAAATATTTACCACAAAGCTCTGTTTATTTTAACGTATCCGCGAAGCATATAACGTACATTAATGGATTATCTAATGATTAATAGGCATTGGTGTCCGATAAGGTTAATAATAACAAAAGCTTATTTCTTAGGAAAATTATTCATAATGGATTTGTAGTTTGTTTGTTTGTTTTTTTAACTAGAATTTTAGGTTTTAATATAATTACAGGATAAAAGAATGATCGCGAGAAAAAAATGTATTATTACGCTATGAAAAATAAAATAAGATTGAGCTTACGTAGGAATTTATCTTAAAAATAAGCAAGAAATTAGGATCTTATGAGTGAATAGGGAAGATTTGGAAGGTACATTTAGATTAAAGTATAATGTAGAAAATACTTGCTCAAGTAGTCACTAGAGGACACTTTAAAACAACCGGCTGGCAATGTAACGTACACGTGATTGGAATGGCCTCCAATGGTCTATTAGCAATATTTCTATGTGAAAATAATAAATGTATTATTAACGTAAAATGTTTTCGTCCCTTACACAATATTAATTGTGTTGCAGTTTATTATATACATTGTGGAATAAACGATGTTAAGTAGTGGCATTAAACCATTTTATGGCTATTTCATTCCGTGTTTGATAAAAACAGCAAGAAATAAGAAATTCAAAAGCATTGTAATAAGAGTCTGGTAAGCATTTGTAAGATGGTACATAACACAGCATTATTAGTGACACTGATACATTTAAAGAAAGAAAAAGCGACTCCTCCCCTGCTAGTTCAGCGGTAAGCTTATTAACGCTAAAATTCGGAGTTTGTGTAGTTTTACGTTACAGAAACACCAAAAAACAAAAATAAGAAAGAATAGGATTTACTATAAAAAAAACCTCCTTATTACTAAATCTTTCTTGAAGTACACTAACCTTCCCACAGCTGCGCCTTAACTAACAAAGCTAACGAATCATGTTTGAACTTGTGTTTTGAGCTTCGTTCTGAGTTAAAACTTAGTAAATACATTGGTTCCAATCTCTTGGCTGCTTCGTTTAAAATTTTTCAGGGCAAAAATATTGTATAAAACAAGATTTCACTCTCAATAATACTAAAGTAGCAATAGTTACGCGTTGAAGAAATTATTAGGCGAATATTGTTGCTTTTGTTGTTTTTGAATAATGTTGCTTTTCGCGACAATAAACCGCAATTATTATTTTCTGTACCCGGATGTTTATGTTTTGAGAAATTAGTTGTGGTGAAAGAAAACCATTTACCCCAGTTTGATTTGTTTTGATAGAAGTTTTAAACATGATGACAAGAATCCTGTTATTGAGTTACTATTACCATATATTAAATGTTTAAACAAGATGTTATCTGTATCGGTAATTAAAGTGTGAATCTTACATTTGGATAGATTAAAAATGCATAATCCTTATGACGTTTATATGATATATTAAGGAGAATTCTATTTAATCATATACTGTTTTTTCATTGTCTTGTTATTGCTGTCTATTTATGTTACTTAACAATGAAGAATATACAATGAATATTTAAACTCTTTCTTGCATGGAAGGTTACTTCTTAACCCTTATATTGTTATATTATTTCTTAATCCTTATTGTTAATTTTACATTACTTTTTAACCCCTACAGTGATATTTCTATTTCTATCACTTGAAGGTTTTCCACTCTATAAGCTCCAAAAGTCCATTCTCTATCTCCAAGTGTTCGACTATGATCGCTTCAGCCGGGACGATGCTATCGGTGATGTATATTTACCCCTAAGTCAGGTCGATCTCACCCAGAAGCCAACATTCTGGAAATCCATCAAACCGGCTGAAGATTCGAAGGTGATAACAAATATATGATGAGTTGATAAAAGAAGTAAGAGGTATAAAACACGTTATAAAAATAAAAAGGAAATGTTTTATTCCCGCCGGAAAGGTTCCATTTTACCCTTTATTTTATAATGTGTTAAATATGTTACTTTTATTTGACCTCGGACATTTACTAGGGCAAGACATTTGGGTAATTGATTAATTATTGAAAATAAATTAACATTGAATTGTAATTATGAACACAACACAATATTTTTATAAGGTAGTATTAAAATATATTTAGTTTTATTATTATCCATTTTAACTGAACATATATTTCCTATTAAATTCAATACATCTGTTTTTGGTAAGCAAAATAATATATTGTTCCATTTGTAGCCTTTATCATGTTCAGAATCAGAATCTTTTTCGAAATAAATCCTGTGCAATTAAAACTTATTCTAAATTGCCTACAAATTTCACTAAATTCTTACCCAAAATTAATCCTGCTACAAAAGACCAATCAAAAATTTAGAACATTTGTACTGTCAATGTAATTTGCCACATTTATTAGGAATTGTTTTAAACACCTTTTCGTTTTGTACAAATTAAATATTTTTGAAGAGAAGTGAAGAAACTGTTGGATTTCATTGTGAAACCTAAATGTTCCTGCTCCTCGATGGTTCAGCGATTAGTCTAAAGGTCCATAACGCTATAACTCATGTTTCGATTCTCATAGTGGGCACACCACAGATAATCCATGGTGTAACTTTGCGCTTAACAACAAATAAACAAACCTAAAGCGTTCCGGTACATATTGATTTTGTTGTTCTATAATTATTTCTGAGTTAAATTACTAGAATTTTATATGCTTTGATCGTGTTTCAGTTAGGGGAGATCCTGGTGACGCTACTGTACATCCCCAGAACCAGTGAACTGACAATTACCCTCATCAAAGCTAGAAACTTGAAATCGAAGGACATTAACGGATCTTCAGGTAAGATAATCAAATGCAATTAAACATCTCTCTTTCTGTTGTATATCTATTTAGCCAATGAATAATATAAATTAAAATCAACCTTAAGATAGCTACGAATAACTTGTACCCCGTTTTCCATTTTTTGCCATATTAATTTTAATCTGAAAAGTAGTTTTTTTTCCAGAATGTCTGATTATTAATTTTTAATATTTTGCTTATTGGTTTGCATACTAATAACACATATGTAATAGTATATAAAGAAATAGAAATATATTTTCAGATAAACATAATATTATTTTAAATACATTTTATTATTTATTTGAATATTTTTGAAATAAATAAAAGCCTAATCATATTTGAGTCATCGTTGTTTTTTCAGTGGGTTATGATTCAGCATTTATCTCCTGAGTCCACTAGAGGTCTCATTTTCTTTTATCAAACATATTTTATGCCATATAAATACCGTAGATCAAATATAGTAATAATATTAAAAGTAAAGTTTTTCTCCGATTTATAAAAGTTCTCATCTGTAGTATTTTTTCTCTGTAAACATTATGCATTTCTTAAGTTGATCAGAAAATACTTTATTGTTGCGAAATATAAATTTATTTGATAATTCACTCACTAGATGTCAGAGATAGCACGATCTCGAGTGAAACATCATTTAACATCTAGGTTATTGGTCAATGAGAATATTTGGGTTACTGGGTGGGTTTAAAAATAGGTGTGATGGTTGCTGGTATTCAAGTTAAAGATAATATATACTCCGATAAAACAATTAATCTGTTAACGTAAAAAAACACACTTTACTGCCAAAAGAACCCACTTCTCAGTCGTGTTCAGCTACGAAGATACGGAGTTTAGGAGGTTGCCTGGATTCTGTTCCTCTTGCACAAAATTGTAAAAGTGTTCTTGTTCAGGCAGGTACTGCACGTAGTCACCTTACAGCGACAAATAAGCTTGGTGGAGCTTATTTTGGCCATCCCTATCAACAGATCTCGTGAAAACCGAAGAGAAATCAGCTTTATAGAGCTGACGAACCAAATCTTGTATTGCGCAACGTATGTGGCCATTACCGCATTTTGTGTGGGAATTTGGATAGGGTTATGGGTTTTAGTTTCTCATAGCCTGGAAACTATGCAGGTTCGGCTACGCTGGTGGGTAATTCGGATTCTAGTTATCGCATAAAATTCATATCTCTATTCAGAACCTAAAAAAAGCTTGTACCGGAAAGCAATTTTTGGGAACCAACTCACCAAACATGTTTCCCTGACTCACATACTGGGTGTTAACTTATTCTGAAGTGTAACAGTTAACGTAGTTAGTAATTACTTCTTCATTTCATTATTGTTTTGTCTGAACTAAGTTGGCCTTAATATTTTTACTAAAGTGTTGAAGTCTTGGTATCTCGTTTTTTTTTCTTTAAGGGGAGGCTGAATGTTTGTTGATATTTGTATTAGTGATATCACTTGCTCGTTAGAGTGTGGCTTCAAAAGGGAAGGGAGTGTTGGATATTTGTCAACTCTTGTATTAGTGATATCACTTGCTCGTTAAAATGTGGCTTCAAAAGGGAAGGGAGTGTTGGATATTTGTCAACTCTTGTATTAGTGCCATCATTTGCTTTTATTTTAAAG